ATCATTTTTCTTACCAATATTCTTTTTATTTTTACTAATCCAACATGCGGTTTTCGTTCTCCACCATTCGGCAAGTGGCAAAAAGCCACTTTGTGCACCCTTTTCTTGTAATTTCCCCACCCCATCCTCATGTACAATTTCCAAAAGTTAAAAAAATTAAAAAAAAAAAAATCGTTTTCTTCAACATGTATTTTGATTTTTGAGGCTTGGAACATCGAAATTGCCCAAAAATGCAGAACAACCAAACAACCCGAAGTACAGAGAAAATAAAAAATGAAATTCTAATTTTCTTCTAAAATTCATACTCGAAGTTTTCTATTATCATTAATTCATTTTTACATTTATACTTTTTTTAGAGCATATGGTAATGAGCTAATGCAATCTAAAATATTTCTATTAACTCCTTCTATGATTTAAACTTAAGATATCTATTTCGAGCTTTCCTTAAAACTAAACCTTAAATTAATATAATATGTCTCACAATAATAGTTTGTAGCATTATTAAGTATATGATTGGAATTGAATTGAATGCAAGTATTAATAATGGAGTAGTGCATTGCTGTATTTAACAGCAGATTTGGTGGTGCCTTGCAGGCAATAATGGGAAAGGAATGAATGGAATAAAACTTATTGGCAGTCAACTTCAAGGGGGCAGTTGGCTGGAACTTTGAACGTGCTTTAACCTTTCTAATTCCGATTAGCTTAAACTTTTTTTATTTATTTACATAACAGATAGATCAATCACAACAAATATATATATGGTATGACTGATTGTAATGTTTACGCCAAAGTCATCTCAAAGATTCTGATGGTTTTTTTTTTTTTTGTACAATTGAAGTTAATTAATTACTTGACATGTTAGAGGTTTAAATTCTAACTTTAATCTTAAATTAAAATTTTTTAGTTAGTAAAAACTAACCTAAGTTTTTGTTGATAAAGATGCTCATCTTAAGACTGAATAAACACTTCTTTAGATTTTAATTAGATTTCTTAGTTGTCTTAACAAAGGAGGAAGTTAAAACTGAACATTCTTTTTTCTATTTGGGCTCTAAGCTCATCAGGTCATTTCCTAAAGGAAACTTTATTGCATAATGGGGAAAACCATTTTTTAATTTTTGTTTTTAATTTAACAAAAAAAATTATTATATAGTCTGGACTATATGTAACTACACACAATTTGTCTATTGTATTTTAATGTTTTTATTTTATAATTTGATACAATTTAAATTATAAAACATGATTTACTTAATTTAAACCTCACCTAAAAAATTTACTTGCATGATATGGTATAAATTAAAATGTAATAAATATACTATTTTGTTATTAATTTATATTGAAAAAAAATAAAAATTGACTTTTAATTTATCAAATATCAAATTAAATTTTCAAAAAAAAACATCTAATTAAATTTATTCACATTTCAATAATATTAAAATTAATGTCGACTTTTATATTTTTAATATACATCTATAGAAGCTAGTGTAAATGTAATGGACCTCCGTAGACTGTGGT